TCTCATAGCCATAACCCGTCATCCGAACTTCCATTATTGTAACTCCCAATAAAATTAGCACATCAAACATTAATGGGAACATTCTGTTTCCTACAACTTTTGCGTATTTACAGCTCAAAATCTACGGTTATGGGATGATGCGGCGCCTGCAAAGTCGCGCCAAAACGCGCGATGTCGTCAACGTGTTAAAGTAATGAGGCCTGACCAAAATAGTACAACAAGTGAAAATCAACAAGCTCACTCGCGCTAGTCACTCTCTTCGTCACTGGTTACAATCTTCTTCTTCTGTTGTTGCTTTTTCTTCCGGAATTCCTGAACAGTCCCAGGCTAAAGTTTATGGAGCTAAATAAGCGAAAACATGAGGCTCACCTCATCCGAATCCTCCGTCTCTTTATTACCAGCACCGCGTCGGCCCGTATCGCTTTCTTCAGAATCGCTTGCACCTATAAGTGGCGCTTCCGCACCACGACGACCACGAGGAATTCCTTCTTCGTCGTCTGCAAAAATTCGTGGACTTGAACACTTCGTTCTCAAAATCATCACATAGCCAGGGCAGATATTGGGCCTATTTTGTTTCTATTTGATAACAGCTACCAATTTGACTGTAGGTTTTTTTTGGAATGATGCGCCTGTACTATCGAGTAAAATTAATCGCTCGCCTAGTTTCTGGACGATGACCAGGCAATAACACCTCTTTTGAATAACAAGTCCTAGAGTTAACAGATCATTGTTCAGATGCCTTTGCAATAAACATCAGTCAATTCGATCAACAACGGATTTTCGCATCAAACTCTCCTATTTGGCGATTTGACAAATTGGATGATATAAATCATGCCCCTATTATGCTGCTAGTGTAAAATAAAAGGAAAGGAGATGGGAACTTTAACTCAACTTCGCTCGCAACTGACACTGACAGCCAGCGGGCCTACCACCAGTTCTATTGGATAGATTGTATTAGGAGTCAACCTTACATGTATCGAGATTCAATACTGCGGCACCATTCGCACATTCTCAATGAGCCCAACCATTGTCCAGCAGAGAATACTGACAGATTGACAGCAGCGTGACGCGGTTGCGCGTCACGCTCCGGTTGAGTCTCGCTTTTCCTAATTTATATTGACTTCCTCGGGTTTCGAAACTATCCTTATACTTGATTAAGTTCGGGGAAAGATTTATTTGCTATTAAGTGATGGTTAATGAAAAAGAAGACTGGTAATAAAAAGTATAAAAGTGCCGAGATACACGCATAGCGGCTCTCGTCAATGTGTTGAAGTCACATTCGACTAGGTTCTCATACGATAGTGACATACATGCGTCACGAGAACCTTCCCCATCCCACAGCGGCCCTCTATAAAGTACCGGCCAGAGATATGCAATAGGTTGATGTCCTCAGGCAGTAAATTAATTAGGTCGATTCGAAATATTGCAGCGTTGATGGGTGTTTCAATCCAACCAAATCGTATTGCACCCGAAAAGATGTTCACACTAAATGCATATTTGCCAGCTTTATTTGTATGCGTAAAAATCCAATCAAGTCGTGTTTTACTAGGAAAACCATCTATTAGGTTGGAAAGAAAGTCCTGCAACACTTTTTCAAATTTTTAATTTTATCTTTTTACAACTCCTGACCGGTCTTATATCTACCATGAGTGTCCACCACTTGTCTTCAACGCTCAGAAAATTTCTTGATGCTCCTTTGCCAAAACCCAGCGGAGTGCGGGTCGAGAAAGGAGGCGACCTCACTTTCGAGTTGGAGTTGATCGTCTAATTATTTCGTCATCAAGATGATGATTTAAGGTCCAGGATAGGTGGCATTCATAGCTCGACCAGGGGAATACGCTAAGAGAGGTAAGAAATCTTGCCGCAGCTCCAGAATTTCTTACCGGGCTCATTTCGGATCATGGTGATTCGCAATGTCATGAAAGAAATAAATATTGTCGCGGTACGAGGGCTCTTGACGAGCTGCTCGGCAGCTTCTGGAGTTCCGTAGCCTATACCTCTAGCTACACAATTGTCGGGTCCACGTCGGGCCCCAAAATGATGATAGGAAGGAAGGGTCCGGTACCGGTACCCGTCGATCCTAAGATAGGAGTCGGCAGTCGTCAGTTGTCACTCACTACCTCCACCCCGACCTCCCCTTCTCTCATAAACTTTATAATGAATATGTATAGCCAATAATGTTCTGTATTACAAACCGCTACACACCTTCAGATTGAGGGCGACCAACCTACAATCGGATACAATGGCGCCCATAACGAGAATTTGTAGTGGAGCTTCCGTAAGAGCCCTATCTGTAATGGAGTGTAGGGACGCTGCTGGCTTCTTATAAAAATATCAAAAGATCGAAAGCGCTGGTAAAGGTGAAACACGCTGTAGCGGTGAACGGCATGCCTATTGAAGCTATTGCAGATAGTGGTCGTTGACACGAATCCATAGTTATGGAGACATTTGTACTAGACAGTGACTCGGAGTACGGATTTGCTAGTGGTCGAGGTTTTTTGAATTTTCTTGGATAACTACTGACTGCAGCACTTATATCCACCTCGTGGATTGAAGCCTCGAGAATGCTCTACCATTTGTTAGTCATAAATGTTACCTATGAATTTTTCAGAAAAAAAGAAAATTTTAGAAAGAGTGTTGCAGAACTTTCTTTCCAACCTAATACATAACTCAGCTTGTGATAACTCTCGCATAGCAAAACTGCGGCGCAGTTGACAATTAAGATCAACTCAAAAATAATATTTGCCGGAGCTTTCAGCTTCGCGGTTCACTGCCGATGATGGCTAACCGGCTTATCACGTTATACGTATGAGCGCATAGTAAATATAACACTGACTTGTGAGAGCTGAGTTAATGGTAAGTCAAAGAGATTCACCGGTGGTGTTTCGGTAGCAAAACTGCGCGGAGAACAGGAAGTGCAGGTTCGATCCCCGCCTGAGGCAGGCGATTTGCCAATAACCCGATTCCCTTGTGTCAACTGTCTACATTACTCGAGAGCACATTATTTATGCTCTCAATACCTTAGTTGTCGACTTTGTCGACATTTCAACTGCACCAAAGGAAGCGGTCGCGCTTGTTATGAGGTCTAAGATAAGGTAGAGTTCCACTCGTCAGTGTCGGAAAGGGTCGAGATAATAGCTGAGATGGAGATTGTCCGGACGAATCTGATTGCTGGCATGACAACAAGCCGCTCGATATCAATTCACGATGGAAATGACCATCGAGCGAGAACGATAACTTAAACACGCCAAGCACATCGTTGCACTTTTCCTCATCCAAAACGGTGGACAAGATTCCAAAAGTTCGAGAAGCTCTTTTCCGGTACCTTACCACGCCGCCACCACCGCTCTTAAAGCGAAAGCTATCGTCTCATTGGGTGGATCTCCTACCCAACAACTCAACTATGTAACTTTTCCATTCGTTCTCATGAGATTCATCGCGACCGCCTTTGGGAAATAGGGCCTAGAAAGTGGAACACCAACAACACGATAGGGATTATTGGTTGCTGTGGTCACGTATAGAAACCTATTTTTGGCGTGGGTGCGGAATTGGCGCCAAATGCATCGACATGGCGCAACACCTGTTTCCACAAATTCACTGAAAACTTGCATAAAGGGGTTATTCAGCAGGTCAAGAATGTGACATTCTTTTCTGACGACAGCGACAAATGCGCGGAATTTGGTGCCAGTTCCAAATTGGCGCTAGTTTCTGCTGGCGCTAAAAGCGAATGTCTTATTCGTAATGAGGACACTAAACCACGCCCGTATGCACGTTTTCAGAAAATCCTGAGTAAAGAGTTGTTGGCCCATGCCTAACCGAATCCCCGCTAATTTGGCGCTCTCGCCCCAACTACACTGGTGTGCAAAACTTAAGGACCAGATAGATAAATTGTCCTAACTTATTAACAATTAGATGGAATTGGATGAAACTGTACGGGCATAATGCTAGAAGCCCTACAGTCATGGGCACCGAAGTGGGCCTCATATGTCTTGCATCCGGCTTCAATCTGGAGCCTAAATGGGGTGGCCACCCAGAACGATGGGTATCGTGGGGCAGGACAAGAGGGGTAAACTAAGCAGGGAGAAGTGACTGTGGAATGTAGTGGTGTCTGATTACATTCATCCAGAGACAAACTAAGGAAGACTTTAACCGAGAGAATCATTGGGAAACTGAAAAAAGGAAGTTGTGTCCAGGAGTTTTGTGTCAACCACAGCATTGTTTTTTGTGCATGAGAAGCAATGTGGACCGCAGCCACTGCTGTCCCAAGAAGAGGAGGTTGTGGGTCACGAACAACCGCAGCAGCAGGTGATTGCTAGGTTTTGCTACAGGCAAAAATGGACCCACGTCAGTCACATGCTGCAGTTGCAAAAACATTTATCAGGATTGTAAGGCATGTAATCCCAGTCCGGACAGTGGCGCAGTGACCGCCTAGGAGTGATCTCTCTCATCGATCAACAATACCTGTATTCATTTGAAATCCACGCCTCGGCTGGGACATTTGGTACGAGCCGAGACATTGGAGATGGACCACCGAATTGAAAAATCGCGTATTCTTCCCGGTCAAGAGCAAACTGAATGTGAGTAGTGATTCTGGACTTACCTGCATATGGGGAAAATAGGAACGTGTAATCTACCCAGGACCATCGTTTAACATGATTGTTTTGGTAGTGCATGCGACATGATGTGGGGAGGCATAAAGTTGTCGGGGCGTACTGATCCCCAACTCATGATCGCGTTACACTTTCTGATCAACGTGATTGTGGTGTTGTACCCTTCTGTCATGTGCATCTTTCCAAGGGTTCCCTTGCCCTCAGCTTCAATCGTATGGAGGGCAGTGTGCGAGAGTATATAAACAACCTGGGTGTGGAAAACTCTTGAAAAGTGAGGATTTTCGGTAGCAGTAACGGTGTCCGTGGTCCAGAAGTGATTGGCACCTATTGCAAACGCAAATTGCGCTGACGGGCCACAGTCTAATCTACATCTAGGACACTGGATGCTGTGAATCAAAAAAGAGAAAAATAGTTCTACTGATCCAACAGAGCATGGTACACCCAGGACAAAGACTCATCACTCTCCAAGTTTGTGCAATCTTAATACGCGGTCTCCAAAGGAACGTCCACATTCTCCTCAGAACTTCATTATACTAATCCCGGCGTAGCGTCTATCGGACAAGTGCGGTAACAACGAATTTGGTGTCTCAAAACCAACGATGATCAGAGCGATCTCAATCTGCAGGTCGTATAGCTTCATACAACTATCCCCATTCACCCAATCCACCACTCAACTACTCTTTTAAATTACCATGTCTTCATTCATGACGCTGTAAGAAGCACACCTAATGAAGCGCTTTATCAGACAGTTCTACAGAATTATGTCCGCGCATAAAAATGGATCACTTTCACACACGCTAGTCCGACCTTATGCGCTTTTCGCTGCTATAATTCATCTCGGTGCAACACCGTATGGACATCCGCTCGGAACCAAAAATGTGATCAGCTAAAATATCTCAACTTATTATCATAGAAAACCACGAGATGATATTCCACCACTTCTCCATATGCTTATTATGCGAAAACGACCCTAACTACAAATCATCCATAAGAAAATAAATCTTAGATACAAATTAATTCCCTAAAATGCATCTTTGCGACATACGCAAGTGTAGCGACCTTTTGCGAGATTGTGATCAGAAGATTATATCACTCATATCAGCCGACAAATTACTATCCAATGATACCGAGTGAAGATACATTAAAAATATTTATACTATGGCTTCTATCTTCATATTAAAATGCAATATGGAGAATTAGGTTCCTCAATGTCAAGTAGACAGGTCTATCAGAGTAAAACAAAATTCGCTAAAGAATGAAAATTCCTACTGTCCAAACCGTGCGAGCACTCACTTTTTAGGTAAAGGCGAACTGAAAAGTAGTCATATATCTTTCATACCACAAACCTTTCACCGATGATATACTCTACAATTATTTCTCTCCGTAATTCTCATTCAAAAGCTCGATAAAACAGCGACCTTTCTCTGCTGGCGCCTATAAAGATTAATCTATTTTGGACCGAACAGGAGCCTTTTAACAGTAACGATGTTACGCGGAGGCTCGCATATAAAACTATCCTGCTGTTCAGCAAAATAAGCGCAACAGGTCAGAAGCATGACCGCGGAATGCCACGACGGAAAATGTATAGATCAACGCTGACTGCACACTGACCATATCCAACCTCGACTGCTCCACATAGACAAGCATCACCCCTCTCACTCGTGAATAATCTGGCGCCACCTGATCACCGCTGCGAATATCTGTAACCAAGCTGCCCATCAGCAAGTACACCGACACTCACGAAGAAAAACTTCCCTGTGTTTCGACCGCAACATGTCTCTGCGCTCAACCCGAATCGCGCAGCTGCCTCTAAACAATAGCCTCTTCTCTCACTTCGCCGAGCTAAGCCGTTCCTCTCTGATTATTTCTTCACGAAATATTCGAGCCACAAGCCCGACTGATTTAAACCGCTACTTGCAAGGAACGAACCCCAACCTATGGCGCTGGCTTTTGCAAACATCACCATGATCCTCGCTTAAATCGCAGCATTCTAGTCTGCTTACCTTGAAACGTCGAATAGCTTGTGACCCTTCTTGTTCTTTCTCGCCATATTCATAAACATGTACCAGCCGTTCTGATTAATTAATGTAGAGTGTCATTGAGAACGAAGCAGACAGAAACGCTTCGACCCGGAATCCTATTAAGCGTCATCGGACACAGATGCTTAGAGCGCCTAAGTGCAATACGCATGAAATCGGCATACACTCCTCAATTTTTCACTGTCAGTAGAGTCGCATCGGAAAATAACTTTTTGTCATATCTAAGCTAACACCTTGTAGCGACGTATAACTCTATGATGCAACCTGTCTACCGCTACAAATATCCTACTTCGTATAGCATACATTATACGAAGTTATACGAAAACACCTCTTTACCAATAACCATCGACATTCTAGAAAGAAGCACACATCTGCAAGAAGTAAAATCCCTAAATGAATTAAAGGCGCTTACGTTCCGTCACTCCATCTCACAATCCTTGTGTTACTTTCCTTTACAACATTACCCATCGCAGGGTCGTCATCCTTAGGTTCAAACTCTCCCATCTTAAAAGTAATTTCTAGCCGTAATAATATCCACAATCCATACATATATATCACCAAGGAAGAAGATGAGCGAGAGAGAGTACCAAAAATAACCACTTCGAGCTCTCCCAACAATGCAATACCGCAAATCTGTCCAGTTCATAAGTAATCGCGTAGCAGGTTACCTCTACACTCATAAACATCCTTCTATTAGACATTTGAAATGCGTTGCAACACTTCCTCAAGAGCTATCCTCAGAGTTGTTAGCGTTCCACACTCATATCCGCGCGCTCTTTCTCACCATATAACTCTCAATGATCTGAACATGATTTCTAAAGATCACTCCATAAAAGTTTAGGCATTACCTCGAGCTAGATAGCAACTTTTCCATACGGTCAGAATCACAAATTTATAGTATTTCCCTATCCTAGCCAATTATTATAAGTCTCTGACACAAATCAGACGCAATGTTTCAGATAACACCAACCTTCGCCAAATACCATGAAACGAAAGACGTGAAATTGAGAACAAAAAATGCTATCTACGCCGCAGAAGCAGTCACCAACACAGGCATGCACTGCATAGGCCGCTTTAAGTTTTTCGGAAAACAACACTGAAGATTTGTCCAAATCATAAGTTTTGTTTGGAAATTAGTCCTAAGCAGCAACTTTCAGGCATACGTTGCGGATTATCAAGCGAGATCAGACACAAAGAAAAAAAGGTTTTCAAAACATTAACTGCCGTTAAATTCATAACAAAAAGTCTAACAATAAGCAATGCATGAATTTATAAATCATTCCATTCACCAGATTCTTCAGGGTAACTCCACTCACTCACTTTCAACTTCAGACGATTACGTCCCTCATCATCTACATGGTCGTCATCTTCATCTTCTTCGTAAGTCTCCGGGTCAAAAGGTTTCTGCGCAACTGAGAAGAAGTTCGGAATCTGGGAAAGGATCACTTCACATTCAGGAGACAACCGAAAAAAGAAGATCTGCGAAATACCTTCATGAACTGGATCCCATCACCGAAATCACAATTCACTTTGCTCACAGTTATCTGAAAACATGTAATTCTTTTCCATCACAGAAATTGAGTCATTCCTAGCGCTTCCTATATTCCCGTCGCCTTAACCCTATCAGAAATCATTTCGTTTTAGAGTTGATAAGTCTGCAGGTGTTGATAAGGTAGGTATACAACAAGGTTGTGGTATTTCGATATCCCATAGAAACGTAAGAGTTACCAACATCAACTATGGTTGGTGGTAGCTGCTTTTCAGGCTGTTCGTCTTGTTCCGGGTACATCCGAATACCATGAATGCTATCGTCACCTTAACTTTGACGAAGTATTATGTAAAAGCAGTAACAATTTCGCTCCTCTCGCAAATACATAAAAAGGGATATGCTCCGAAAACTTACTTCTTCTACTGGCATCGGATTTATTCCCATCAGAGTCGGTGGTAGCTCTTTTTTTCTTGACAGCGTCTCCCCTCTCATCGTCTGAATCTGACGATAAATCATCTCCAAAGATACGGGCAGCAGTGGTTGGCGACTTCTTGCCGCTCTTGTCATCTCCCTGCAAAGTTCGTATACTGCACTAACGTTACAGAAGAATCATCACAAATTTCTAAATGGTTGATCGGGTTATGCCAGAAGTTAATACTAGCAAAGTGCCCTGCACATCCACTTCGTTTAAGAGTTGCCGTAGCCGAAGAGGAGGCTTTACTTCATGTAATTACACTTTCCCAACCAACGCAACTTCTCGCTCAAGCATAACGCAATGTTTCCGTTTTATGATGTTTACCTCCGCGGCGACCTTAATTCCGTTCAGAGCGCTCGCTAATAGAGCGGCTTTATAAAAACTTCGCCCCCCCCCCGAGACAACCGTGATTCGCACGCGCATCGCCCTTTGTGGGTGAAATTCAACACCGTGTTATTTGGTTTTCGCGTCCTCAATTCGCATTTTTGATAGTTATTCCGCGATCAAACATGAATAACAGAAGTACACAGAGGGCTTCAGCTCAGGCGGCAGAGTGTCTTTTTCTTACATATAGGATAAAGTTTCTTTCAAAAAACTATCCCAAAAATTTATATTCGCGTTCATTACATGTCTTTTTCAATTGCAAAATAGTTTTGTTGGAAGAGGCCATTGTGGTGAAGTGAGCAAATTCTAACATAAATTATGTTGTATTCAATCTGAAACGGTCGGCCAAGAATTGTTGACATCTACTGTAATGCGTGATAAGATCGGTTAACACAGCTTGCTGACAGATAGACCAACAAGTACCTCCTGTAAGTTAACGAAAGATTACCGCTGAAATTCTTTTGCGCTAATGTTTCCACTAACTTCTCCTAAAATCCTGGATATGAGGTAAGGCATCATAGACCACTTCGAAAGCTTTTCATGTTCAGGCTCTCCACCCTCCAAGAAAGCTCCAGATTCTACATTGAAGATTGCTCTACTGTTTTCAATGGTCTGGTCAAGATTGGTGATAATATGATAGTACTCTCTGGAAGAGTACTAATGAATATTATCACGAATCCCAATCATTTCAGCACTTCAACTTTTGACACGGCAGTTCACATCGAGTTTCGAACAATGGGTTCTTAGAGAATAGCGTGATTCCGTATTGCGGTCATCAAGATTGTGCTCGACCGAAAACGAGTCGAGGTTGGATCATGTCCGTGAGGGCAAGAAGCAAAAAATGCGGACTGTCATTGTAGGAATTGAAGAAACATTCCACAAAATGTGTGAGTCCTAATGTACTAACGAAGAAGTAAGTTGTAAGTAGAAGAAAAGATATGAGCAAGAAGGAGGCCATGTGTGCTGTTGCTGGTTGCGCGCTAGCTGCCGGTCATGAGCGAATAGGACGTGATGCACAAGCAGTCTCACACCTGCTCTCCCTGGGAACGATTTCTTGTCTCTCAACTTTAACCTGGTGCGTACCTCTTCGTTTTCGGTTTATGGTCGAACACCATTGCGTTCCTAGGCAGACGGTGCGTTACAATTACAGCTTAATTTAGCAAATTAAAGCAGCTAGAGGAAGGTAGATTTCCAATCCTAATTTCTACTTTCTGCCTTCACTTTCGAGCACCTGAACAAATTTATCCTTTACTATAGCTGGCTCCAGAAACTTGCCCTTAACCCCACATTCTCCAATGTTAAAGTGACACAGGGTAGTTAGCTATTTTGACAGACCCCTACTGAGTGGAGCTTCGATCAGAGTCACGAAATGAGCACTGCTGGCAGTGATTGTTTTAAATAAGAAAATCTTTTACGAAACATATACTGGTAGAAAATGAGTTGAAAAACGAATATCATAAAGCAAAATATATGCCGCTCATGAGGAGACAACAATGGCGCACCTCTTCGTCTGAACTGTCGCTAATCAAACTTTGCTTGACCTTCCGAGGCGACGCAGAAGATCGCTCAGAATCGCTCTTTTCAGAGCCCATGCTCTTCTTTCCCTTCGGGGAGACGCAGAAGAACGCTCAGAATCGCTCTTTTCAGAGCCCATGCTCTTCTTTCCCTTCGGAGGAGACGCAGAAGAACGCTCAGAATCGCTCTTTTCAGAGCCCATGCTCTTCTTTCCCTTCGGAGGAGACGCAGAAGAACGCTCAGAATCGCTCTTTTCAGAGCCCATGCTCTTTTTTCCCTTCGGAGGAGACGCAGAAGACCGTTCAGAGTCACTTTTGTCTGAACCTAAAAGTAGAGATTGAGACCAACGTCTTCTTTTGATCCTTCCTGGCTGAGCAGGAGGGTTATCGGCCAACATTAAACAACCTTTTTCGCTAGGGACATGTTGAGAGTTCTCGTCAGGGTGAGATCGATGTGAAGGAGTGGAATCGGATTCGCCACTTGAAGAGTTCCTGAAATTTACATGGGAAGTCTCTTTCCACAAATTAGAGGACATCGGTGACAGACCTTTGGGGTGTAACGTTGCCATTTTTGTTCTCGTTCTCATCGCTTGCGCTCTCCGAGTCAGACATTTCCTGCTGTAATACCATCCACCATGTTTTTCACAAAAGCTTCACAACAGAAAGGGTACTCATCCAGTAAGGGGGGAGGGCATGTGGTGCGACAGTTCATATTGCATGAAGAAATCCACTTTTTTCAGGGGAGGGAAGCTCCGGGGTGGGTGTAAAAGCTTAAGCGAAATGGTTCACGCACCCCGGGTTCCCTCCCCTTGCAAAAATTGGAATTTCTGTAGCCGACAAGAACTGTCACACCACATGCCCCCTTACTGGATGAGACCCGGGTATCGAACAACGACTAAAAACTGATTGGACACACTGATACAAAAAAAGCAAGAATGTGAACCTAATGCAAACAGACTGCTGCTTAATTTCGTATGATAACATGTGTACTGTGTAATTACACGGCATGACAAATCTTTCCCACGTCTATTGCGGATCAATGGTATCGACACTACGCCATTCTCAATTCTCTTGGAAGAGTGAACGGAATTATCCAACTGGGCCATGTTGCTTTCGTCAGATTCAACTTTTCGCAATGCACCAAATGTGAAGTCATTCTTACTAGTTGCAACTTTGTGGAAACGAAAATAGATTCATAGGTATGTATCTTGGGGTAATTGGTGAACCGCGAATTCTGAAGAGGGGACGGAAGTCGGTCAAATCGGCAAGTAGTCGGCTCCACTGTTTCAAAGACCCTCAGTTTACCGTCATTCTATTTCAATGGTTACAGTACGTTTAGATAAATATCACGCCCACATTTGACTATAGCGCTAAGTACCTTAAAGTGACTAAAATCACTCCCTCAAAACCGGATTATTGAATAACAGTCAACGTCAATCCTCGCCGATCACCCGAGTTGCAGATTTAGCAAACAACACCCATTCTTTCCTTAGACTCACTGGCTCTCCTTAAATGCGGTTCTTCAATCGATTATGTCGACATTTTTTCCCCCTTGACACGTTCTGCTCCGTTCAAAGGGTTCATTCATATACTTGCGATCACCGACTAATCGGAGAAATCGGGGATCGGCGAGTTACGCCGTACAAAATCAGCATTTTCACGCTGTAATCGGATGAGAACTATCCGGTGTTTGCTTTACTCCTGAGCATACAGGAAAAAAGGAAACCCTATGGAGCCGTACTGTAGTTTGCTGACGATTAATTAACGATTACTGTAATTTGTTGATCATATCAACAATATGACTTTACAAGAATGCTGGGTTGTGAATAAAACTTTCGCACCAGACGGGACTCGAACTCGCACCTCTCGCTTTCCGGGCAAGTGCGCTACAAGTTACGCTACCGGGCACAAAACAAAGACAGATATGACCAT